AAACTTTTTCAAGCCGAAAAGGGGAGAAATCTTTTTACAAAGGCTATATCGGCCTAATACAAAAGCCTAAGGGTTATTTTTGCTTTGAGTTCGAGAGACCATCCTCGCTCAAATAAAAAACCTAAGGGTTACCTTACTTTGAGTTTGAGCAAGCACTCACTCGATCGTAAAGCCTAAGGGCTATACTAGTTCGGTTTCAATCAAATTGTCTAAACCTCAGACCTTAGAATACAACTTCATAATTTTATAAGGTAGAAAGGAAGAAAGTTTTTATATATATACACGTCAAAAATCATTTACAAAGGCAACAGGGCCCGATCAAATTTCTCTACAAAAGACCGAAATGGTCTTAAAAGAAACACAAAAAATACTAAAGGACTTAGTCCTATCTGGGAGCAGCATCCCCGCCCTCGAGACCTCCTTCGCTTTCAGATACGCTCATACTCCCGGTATCATCATCATCAGGAAAGGCCAACATTCTGGCTTTGGCTTCAAGCTCCTTAGCATTCTCGATCTCGGCTGTTAGATCGAAGCCACGAGCATGGATCTCCTCGAGAGTCTCCCTCCGAGACTGGCATTTAGCATGCTCGGCAACCCAGTTTGCTCGAGCTTAAGTAGCCTCAACAACCTCCTTTGCTTGAACCTGAGCAGCTTCAGCATCGGACCAGTAGATGGCCACCATTGCATCAGCATTAGCCGTGGCTATTTCGACCTCCGATTTGGCCGCTGCAAGTTCTATAGCCAGTCTCTCTCGATCAGAAGTAGCTGAGCCCAACCAAGACTGGAACTCCTCGATTTTCTTGGCTTGCACCAAGGACTTCTCTTTCAAGCTTCGGAGCCGCTACAAGTTCTGTAGCCAGTCTCTCTCGATCAGAAGTTGTTGAGCCCAAGCGAGACTGGAACTCCTCGATTTTCTTGGCTTGCACCAAGGCCTTCTCTTTCAAGCTTTAGAGTTGGGTCTCAGCCTAGGCCAGTTGAGTTCGGGCAGCCTCCTTTTCTGAGGCAAGGTGGTCCATGTTCTTTTTCCACTCCTCGGCCTCCACTTTCACGGCGTCCACTTCAACACGAAGCCGCCTGATCACATTGAGCTTTTGCTGGACCTGTGGGACCGAACTGTTAGCCATCACACCCGAGTTAGTGTCATTAACTTCAAAGATTATTTTTACCTGCTCGGAAAAATTGGCTTGTTCTCTCCGAGCTGCTTCTAGCTCAGCCCGAAGTCACTTTGCTTCTCCTTCTCTCTGCTAACTCAGAAGCTTGAAGGCATCTCTCTCCTCAATAAGCCCTCGAATTTCGGCTTTGTACCTGCTCAGCTCCCCTCGGGATCGGAGAAATACCTTGTGATGAAGCACAGAGGCCTACAAAAATAGAAAGAAGGAATTATAAGGAAAGAAAAATACAAGTATGAAAATTAACAAAGAGAAAATGAACTTACCCGATTCAGGGCATGTTGAGCTTCGTTGAAAAGACAAGAAAATCCCACCTCGCCCGAGCTTTTCTTCGGAGCCTCCAAGTCACTCATACCGGTGACATATTCTACCCCAACAAAATAACCACGGAAAGGATCTTCCTCTCCATGGGATCCCTCCCCGTGACAAGTCTCCACCGCCTGAGCATCATGTATCATCGATTGGTAAAATGAAGGAAACGAGGGAGAATCCCCGATCTCTATTGCCCCGAGTAGGTTTTTTGGGGCGCCGCCTCCGTCTTGACGAGCCTCAAGCCTGGTTTCTACATCGGCATCCACCACTTCCTCAACGGTCCCTTCGCCCCGAGGTAAAGCATCTTCGATTCTCCTCGGCCCGAGAATTTGGGCCAGAGTCTCCTACTCGACCTCATCGAGCCTAGATGGAGCAGTATCAGCTCCCACTGGTCCCGAAGTTTTCTGAATATCGGTGCCAGCTCGTACAGGGGCCACCAGCCCAGAACCACCTTCTTCTTCTTCTTCTTCTTCTTCTTCTTCTTCTTCTTCATCCCTTAGTCTTTGGACTGACTCCATAGTCAGTGGGATTGTGTTCCCCTTGGGTTTACGGGCCACTCTCTTCTTGGGTTTTTGACCCTCGGAGTCCGAGGCCCTTTTTCTCTTAATCACCATCGCTGGTTTTGAGATAGGCAGTAAAGCTTCTTCATCACCGGACAGGGGTCTCATAGACGCATCCTTTCCGAGACCTACAAAAGGAGAAAGTAAATAAACTCATACTTGAGGAAAATATGCTTGAACGATAGGCAAATCGGCAAGCCAAGAAGAAGTCTTACCATGATTACGAGCCTCCTACCGGCTCTTTGACAAATTGCGCCACGCACGCTTGGCGTATGTTGACGTCAAAACCAGGCTCCTGACCCAGTTCTCGAGGTGGGGAACCGCACCCGGCATCCAAGCAACGGCTGCATCGAGAAAAATAGTGATAAGAAAAGATGAAGAAGTAAAAATAACAAAAACTAAAAACGGGATCATACTTACATTTCATCTTTTATTTCTTAGGAAATGGCATACTCTCAGCCGGGATTAGGTCCGAGGTCTTCACCCGAACAAACCGGCCCATCCAGCCTCGATCTTTGTCTTCATCTATACTCGAGGTTAACGCCTTGGTGGCCCGGCGTTGAAGCTTTATCAGCCCACCTCGGTAGAGTCGAGGGCTATATAATCTTACGAGGTGGTCAAGGGTGAAGGGAAGCCCGTCAATTTTGTTCACAAAGAAACAGAGCAGTATCACGATCCTCTAGAAAGAAGGGTGAATTTGGTTGAGAATCAGCTGGTATTTCTTGCAAAAATCAACGATGATCGGATCGAGGGGACCCGGCGTGAAAGGATAAGTGTAAACACTCAGGTACCCTTCCACGTGGGTAGTGATCGCTTCCTCCGGTGTCGGTATCATAACCTCTTTGTTTTCCCAGTTATAATCTTTCTTCACCGGATCAAGAAGACTTTTGGGTATCGAGCATATGTATCTCGATATCGACTTGCATCGACCAGGAACCGATTAGGTTTTCTCAACCTTCAAGTCGGAATCTATGACACACACCCCGAGAATAAGTTCTTCAGGGCGTGGCTCCACCACTGGTTTCTCACCGGCCGGCCGAGATGAGGAAGCAACCTCTTTCTGCGGAACAGTTTTAGATGTTTTAGCCATTTAGTTTTTGTGGGAAAAGAAGAATGGAGACTGAAGTACTTGGTGTTTCAGGAAGAACAAGCAAAGAAACTCAAAGATTTGAAGATAGGAAGCTTTGAAGAAGGCAAAGAACTATGGAGATTGGAATGAAAAAGATTTGAAAGTAAAGTTTGAAATAATGAAGAGGGGGCTATTTATCGTTTTCACAACGACGGTTCAAAACTGGTAGTGGCCGACCGTCGACTGACGCACATTAAATACCTAGGAAACTGTACCGACGAGACGTTTCTGTCATTTCTGCTACTTATGTCACGACGATTACATCATGATCGAAGGCTCAAATCGTTTCTTGTTATTACTCTCCAAAAAACGAGGGGACTATCTGTATACAGTCAAAATCGTGCCCGATTTTGTATGGTTAATCGAGACCGGGGTGGCAGACCGAGGTTCAATCCCAAGTTATATTGGATCGTTACATCAGTAAATATTGCCTAGCTCGTGATTCAGGGATCGATCGAGATCGAGATCGAGACCAGCTAAGGTCGAGACCGAGAAGGATAGGGATCTAGCAAGATCGAAGGAAGCCTGCTAGGTCGAATAACAGAAAGCCGAGGAATCCGTGACCGGACGAGGATTGTGGCGGAGATCTCGGCATATATCAAGTCAAGACCGGTTGATTAGCCAATCAGAAGATTTTCTTCTGTATTTAGAATTGTACCATATGTAGAACTCCTCTACTATATAAATGGGGTTCCAATCATTTTGTAAGGGGGGACACGCATAACAAAACAATATATTACGTTTTCTCTCTTAAGCTCTCTTATTCAGTTGTTCAGTTCTTGCTTTTCAATATTATACTCAGTTGGTTCGAGGACGATCTAGCTCGAGGGCCAAAGTTGCACGTTACATTGGCTTGCTTCATTTTACAGTTAATTTCTGACTTCAATTCCTATATTTCTCAGTTTGTGCCAAGTGAAATCACATATCCTTAAAACTATTTACAGATTTAATTGTTATCCGATTATAAGGGTAAACAAAGTATAATCATACAAAATTAGATAAAACTAAAAATGATTATGTTCGTCAAAAGGTGCAAGTAACACACTTAAAGGATAAAATAAGAGAACAGCTAGAGATTATTTGGTGTCTTACGTCGACTTCTCGACGCACTAGTTTGTAAGTGTGTAACCGTGATGATTGAAGGTTACCTAAAATCACAAGGAGGAATTGTGTCGAAGACGTACAATCTTAGAATCCATACAGACTTAGCACAAAGAAGGATAGAATAGAAGCATAAGATCCATATAGACTTATACCAATTAGTTTAAATTAAGGTTTAGCGTTTAAAGTCTGTTAGTTTTGTTAGAGATTTGTATGCTAGTAAAAAGTATAAAGATATTATAATGCTAGAAAACCTAATTATTCAAAAATTAAATTACTATGGTATAAGTGGAGTGACATGATTAATGAAAATTATATGATTACTTTGAGATTGAGGCATAGTTGTATAATACTAAATCCCATTATAATTTATAGGAAAGGACCTATTAACATTTTTCACGAAAAAAAACTGTCTGGCAGCTGAGAATGAAGCTTATACACAGTACACGAGTCAATTTAGGATTTGGTATTAGTCCAAGAGTCACAGGTCAAGTTATGGTTAATTAGCCGCCTATCCAACCATTTAAACTAAAAATAGCCGGCGGGGATATAATATATGCATAATTTATGTATTATATGTATATAATTATGTATAATCAATATATAATTTATGTACATGGCTAGAAAAAGTAAACAATGAACATGACCACGATTTATATAAACACATATAGCTACCTTCTCAAACTACAAGTAAATCGTGCAAGTATTGTACAATACAGACTGCCACAGTAGTTGGGAACAAATGAATGACCTCATTTGATTTCTCACTATACTGGACAAAAAGAAATTTACAAATGAGTTACAAATAGGCCAAAGAAGAAAAATTGTAAATGGCCTAACCCCCTAAGTTCTGTGTAGTAATTGAAAGGGAAAAATTACTCCCCCAAAAAAATTAAAAGAAAATCAACCATTCACAGTTATAATTTCTTTTTCTGCAGTCTCCCTCTCAACAGCCGAATTTTAGCATCTACTCTTGCTGTGAACCCAATCTTGGTCTTCTGCCTTGCTTTAGATCCTTCTCTCTTCCACATATGACGATCTTCTATGTCTTTCTTATAATATTTGATTTCTTGAATAATGTGATGATCCATCGGACTAAACGATCGTTGAAAAGCTATGTGAGCTAAGTAAGGCAGAGTGCATACCATAGTTACTAAAAGAGTGGTACACCAGTAGATTGGAGCAGGAGCTAGAGCTTCCTCGAGTATCCCGAACGCGTATTTAGAATAAACTGGTGCTAACCTACCATATATCAAGAGAACTATGTACCAAGTAGCAATGCTTCCCCAAATAAGAATATGTTGTATCCATGTGAAATGACTCATAGTAAGTGCAATTTGGCAGTTCACAGCCCATATGACACAGGTAAACATCGTAGTACCCAAAGCTGTCAAGTCAGCCGTCTGGCCTCCAGAACGGAAGGCTTGATCGTAAAAGATGATAATGTTGAGGAAGAAAATAATGAGGGACGTGTAGATACCATTGCCAAGCCACCCGAGAATTCTATACCAGTCAAAGAACAAGTTTTTCGGCCCTTGTTGGTACAGTGCTGGAAACTGCGGAGCAATTTAGCAGAGATGTCTGTGTAAGTCGATTTTATTGAAACTATGAGAAGTAAGATAGTAACCGGAGGAATACCTTTAAACAAACATCAGAAGGCACATCCTGCTCGAATACTCCAAGTGCAATTACAGGCAATGAAGTAAGAATGACGTTGAATAGCATCATATATGAATCATCATAGACAGACTGTCCCGAAAAGCCAGCAAAAGCCTCGAAGTAAAAGAGTGTGAGGCCAAAACAGATGTTTTTGTAGAAGAAATAACATATCTGAACGCAGAAGATAAAATGCAAGTCAGAAAAGTATAGGAGAAAGATCCAGTTAGATCACGAATATAATCACATATTTATCTGCTTAGGCATTTTATGTCACTGGCCATATGTATTTGATCTTCTATCCACAAAATGAAACATTATGTACAGTCATTACCATCTGAGCAATTCGTTTATAGCACCAATGCCCATGTACAACAAGAAGTCTCTCCAGGTACCGGAACTGCGCAATAGCAAAGTCACTCGCCATCACAGCCTGCAACATAATAAAGGCTGATGTTACGTGATATTGTAACAAACATGACAATTCGCAATTCAAAGTTTGAGAAAGTGGGACTGGAATTATGTGCATAAAAATCTAGAGCTTGAACATTGAGATGATCATGCGAAGCATAGGCTAGACAAGCGGTACACTGAACACTAACCCAATCGTGAGAAAAAAATTCTTGCAACTACGAAAACTACAACAACCTCCGTGAACAGACGCTTTGTCAGTTCATTTTTTATATAACTTCAATTCAATAATTAAGAAAAAAGGTTAAAAAGGCTGAAGAAGCACCATTGGTGATTAAATCTAAGTATATGCCTTGGAGGCATTCAATGGAAAAATAATATTCATCCATCAGGGAAAAAAGGGACAATGAAATAACTTCGTCCAAAAAATACAAATCCCACCCTTGAAATTCGGGAAATGGTTGGACTATAGCTATTATTTGTTCACATATATTATCAAAAAGATCGTCGAATGGATCCGTAGTCTGCTCAAAACTTGGTAGCACGGGGAATCGGCTTGGGTGAAAAAGGCGGGCTTGATACTTATGAAAAACAATAATGCGTTTTTAAGCAAAATGCTGAAAAACCTTTTAGATTAATAAGGGCCAAATGCCACATAGATGCACCACTAACCTGCATTCCTTCTGCACCACTGATACCAACTCCGATGTCCGCTTCTTGAATCATCCCAACATCATTTGCACCATCGCCAATTGCTAAGGTGATTTTTCCAGTTCCATCTTTTACTAACCTAGTAACCTGATCCAAATCAATTACGAAGGAAATATAAATATGACCAATTTCATGGCTGAATAATTGGGGTAGAATTACAAAAGCCAATCTGGTTTATCTTACCAAGGCCTTCTGCTTAGGAGATACACGACAGCAGATGACAGATGAACAATTAACTGCTAAGTTCAAAAAGTGTTGCTTCATATCATTCTCCAAAGCATAAGCTAGAGTTTTCCCATCAATAATCAACGCAAACGCAGCATGTGGATCCTTTTCAAGTTTGATCATTTGAGAAGCATTTGTGATTTGTTTCAAAATGTCCTCCTTCATAGCCTGACCAGTAAAAAACAGAAATGGAGGCTCCATCACTTGTAACAAATCTCCTACAAACTTTGTATACTTGGTTTAGAATGGCCTACCTGTTTAGAATCTTGAGCCACTGAGTCTGCATTCATTGTCGTTATGCTTATCTGTTTCATTCCTTGTCGAAGCAAACTACAAGCATAGCTGCAAGGAAACAGGAATTTGTCCTTTAGCAGTTATAAACCATTGACTGAATAAGTATTATAATGTTGGAAGGCATTTCTCTCTTTAGGAGACGGACCCTATGTTGATGGCTGTTTCCATCTTATCACCTGTCAGTACCCAGATTTTGAGACCAGCTTGCGCCAGTTTATCTATGCACTGAGGAACCTGGTGAAAAGATAAATAATGAATTAGTCAGAAAGTGCGATTATGTGCAAGAAAATATACTTTGAATTTTTAAGTAAGCTCATACTCCTGCGATACCTATTAGTTGAGAATATGTTTAAGTCATGTTAGCACTTTTACTTTACGTCCTTTGCTTTCTTAGGATGTAAGTAGAGAATATATAGAACTTCTAGTACTTTTTTATTTTTATTTTTAAAATATTGGCCTGAGATGAGTTTAAATGGAGTAACATGGTCGACGAGGATTCATATAGCCGACCCTAACTTGTTTGGGACTGAGGCGTAGTTGTTGTATAAGTTACATACTCCCTTCTGTAGTTTATCCTCCACAGCAGTTGCACCAACAAGGATCAAGTCCCTTTCCATCATANGAATAAGCATATTGTAATTGACAGACAATTTAACAGCGTGTTTGATAGCAAAATAGTCACTTAGATCACCTACTTTAAGGATGCATAGTTCATCGTAATAAAAAGGACATTCAAAGAAACACCTGTCTGCTCCTTTACACAAGAAAAGAATCTGGCCACTCTCATCGCGAATTATAACAGACATTCTCTTCCGCTTGCTAGTGAACTCCAATAGATTGAGAACTTTGAATTCCCTAAACGAATAGCAACAACATGTAACCTTAGAAAATAGTGACATACTACAAGTGGTGTGCAATTGTTGTTGAAAGCAACTTACGAGTATGTGAGTTTATCTCACCTTTCAATTGGCTCTTGAAAAGAAGGATATCTCTCCCGTACAAAAATGCTTGATTGAGTTCTTTTACAAAACTCAAAGCCAAATTCCCTAGCTGCAACAAGAAATGCTCCTTCATCTGGCGACTCCGCTTCATAGTTAAAGTTGCCAGTCTCCTCATTTAGCTCGGGAATAGCAGAATGACAAACTGAAAGTATCCTAAAGAATAACAAGATGACTTCTGCATTTGGCTCTTTCATCCAATTTCCTTTCATAAGGCGGCTATCCTCAAAACTGAACCCCTTTATTGCAGCTTTAAAATCGTCTTTAGAAGTGATGACACTCTCTAATTCAATTTCTGATGAACCATTCTCATACTCGCGTCTCGGTGAATCAGGATCTTGCCCACCAAGGTCCTCAGCCATCTGCTTTGCGGCTGCAAGTTCTACATCACTTGCACGCATTCCATATGCCGTACCAGCAATGGAGCATTTTAAGAAGTCCATTTGGTTGCATGTCAAAGTGCCGGTTTTGTCTGAGAGGATAGTATCGACCTGCCCCAACTCCTCATTTAAGTTTGATGTTCGCGCTTGAGCAGGAGTTCCAGACTCGTCATCATACATACTAATATCCTGGTTTATGAACAATGCCTGTAGGACCTTCACAACTTCAATGGAAACATAGAGGGATATAGGAATTAAATAACCATATAGTATAAGTGCAGTGACCAGATGCAAAAGGCCTGACAACTCAGGCTGTCTTGGATCGACCACATTATTTACTTCGTTCATAGGTTGCATATACCACCAGCTTGGCAATTGAAATTTTGCATATATGGCAAAGCCGATTGAACTGACAAATGAGATCGAGAGAAGGACAGTAAAAAGGAGGTAAATAATCTTGTCCATCTGTAGTTCGATCCTACTCCTTTTAGAAGGAGACTTTGTAGAATTCTGCATAACTTTGCTATCATGACCAGTAAATATAGCAACTCCATAAACATAAGCTGTATTCCTAAGCTTTGAATCCCTGAGGAGAATCTGACTCGGATCAAGAGGATAAACCTGACGATCATACTCGAGGTTGCCCACAAAAGTGTAAAGACTAGGATTAGGATCTTCACATTTTATGGTTGCACTGAATTGCTTGAAAGCCTCATCATCCTCCAAAGATAGAGTAACCTCCAACGCTCGTTTTACCTTCAAGTTTGTCTCTCCATCCAAGTTCATAGTTTCCACATAACAGATTCCATCTTCATAACTAGACGATAAAAGAAGTAAATCTGCCGGGAAAAATTGATCCTTTTCCACTTTCACGATGTCTCCAACCGAAATCTTCATCCACGGCTTATGACTAAACACACCATCTTCCTTGTGGACACTAGCTTTCCGATGATTGACCTTTGTATCTTGTATGAACCTCCGCGAGTCTTCTAAGGCTTCCTTCGCCATACTCAACCCGACCACAAAGACCAACGGAGCTACCATACTGAAAGCTGAGAACGGGGACAGATTTGTTGTGGCCGACACAATTGCAGCCATGAGAAAATACAAGTTAGCAACACGCCTGAATTGCTCGAATAAGGCCTTGGGTAGGAATGTGATGATGTTATACTTTGTGGTGGATATGTGATTGCTGCAATACTTAAGAGGTTTCTTTTCATGGAGATGGGGCTGGTTACAATGTACAACTCGCGAGAACCCGGGGCCTAACTGATGGGGACCATCTTCCTTGGCATGCGACCGATAGCAAGCAAATGAGTACAAACTGCTCCTTCGGATCTTTGCCCTTATCCTGCCTCGCGCCATTTCTTTTTTCCTCTCAAGGAAAGCCTAAATCAGTTGCACCACAACATGATAACTTTCCTAAGAGGAAAAAGACATGAATTAAAGGGCATCCTCATGCAAGCATTCCTTTTTATGTGAATTGGGATACCCAGAGGAATTAGGCCAGGCCTGTAACGCAAAGGGGGGTGATACATTAACCTCAAATATATAAATTAATCACAGCTCATCCAAATAACATCAAGATCCAAAAAAAAAAAGATAGCCCGGTAAACTAAGCTCCTGCTATGCGCAGGGTCAGGAGAAGGGCCGAACCATAAGGGTCTATTGTATGCAGCCTTACGCTGCATTTCTGCAAGAGCACGTTTCCACGGGTTGAACCCGTGATCTAACTTTTGTAAGGGTCTATTGCAAGCAGCATTAACCTGCATTTCTGCAAGTGCCTGTTTCCACGGGTTCAATCTAACTTTTCTTGAAAATTACTATATTTTATTTAAACAAATTTGAGTTTATCTGAGCCTTAAATTTGGGAAAAGGCCCCTGCATATATCCAATAAAGATTCAATTTTTACAACAGATTTAACTTTCTTTGAGAGGAAATCACAAAACATTTCAGCTAAGCTGCAGCTATTTTGCCAGCATTTTAAACATAACAAACACAACAACCACAACACAAAATACATAATCCTTCAGAAAGAAAATTCATTTACCAAATTACAACAGGCAAAGTTTCACAGAAGAAAAAAAAGGGGCAGCACATTTTCTTGTGATTAAAAGAAAAAACAAGACACAGGCCACAAAAAGCAAAATATTAAGGGGGAAAAAAGGGTACCTGAAAAGGGAAAGGATAAAGAAATAAGGAAGTGGCAATTGATATAACTGCAAAAAAAGACCCTGAAATAGAAGAATGCAGCAGTTTTCTTGAAAATCAAAATGTACAACGTAAGAGAGAGAAAGAAGAGAGAGAGACAAGGACGATGATGGGTTCAGGAGAGAAAGAAGAAAGAGTCCTTTCTCTCTCTCTCTGTCCCAAAGTCCGAAGCAATGCCAGTATTTTAGGACACAACACAACCCCTCTCTCTCTCTCTTTATGGAGTGCAATGTGTAACATAACATAACATAAACATGTTGTTTGTTTGTGTGTTTTCTCCCTCCTATCCTCTTTACAGACATGGGATTCACTGCTTCTTTCTCGGAACTTCAGTTGCATTCACTTCTCCAAATATTCACCGTCCTTTTTCTTGTTTCTTGAGAAAAACTGACGCATAAAATGAATTACTCGCTCCGATCACTCGTACACATTTTGACTTTACCGTTAAAAAATAATGAATGACATGATAATTTTACTATAATAATCTTATTAATTGATACTCAATAATTGAACTCAAATTCTTAAATAACCTCTGAAGAAAAAAATAATTCATAAAACAAGAGAATAAAAGATACTTTAGTGGACTTTTGTGTTTAACGAAGGGTTGATTACAAAGAGTTCTATGTGAATTTTAATATTGAGTTCTATGTGAATTTTAATATTGAGTATTAAAAAGCTATAATTAACCATTATTTATTCAAGAAATATTGTTTAATAAATTAAGGAAAAAATATGAGAAAAAAATTGTCTTTATACTGAGAATTAAAAGTGAGCGGATGGAATATTTTGTACACGCTACACTTCGTGTAATTTAAGTTTATAGCAGTTGCTTTTTGGACAATTGCTTTACAAAAAAGAATTATTCAACCCCAAATACTACAGTACTCCTATAAACTTAAGCCTTAAGGTTTATACACTGATGATTGCAAGAACTATTACATCATCAAATAGCGTGCATTTCAAACTTTTAGGAGGTTTCTTATATTTTTTATAAGTTCGTGATAATTTCCAACTATTAAACGAATGTTATATTTTAAACAGCATTTCTATAAGTAGTTATTCCTAATGTTATATTTTATACTTGTTCATTGTGCTAAAAATATATTTTTACTTTTATTTGTCCATTTTAGCAAATCAAGAGAAGATCATATTTTTTTTCCTCCTTTGTCTTTATCATTAACTAGTATTAGCGTACGCGCTTTGCGCGTGTGCCTAACCCAATAAAAAAATTATTTAAAATTTATCTTTGAGATATAAAATAAAAATACAAGCTCTTGAAAATAATGAATGTTGGTCATATATAACTAATAAAAAATAAAACTGTTCCACGAAAATACTCAATCATCAGTCAAATAATTCAACTTAAAATGCATTTCAAAGAATGACTGAAGTTAGAACGGGAAGTGTGTATTTAGTTTGGAAGTATCATTTTTCAAGTGAGATTAGTATTTAAATAATACTAATTAGCTAGCTCATACCAAATTTTAAGTATTTAATTGCAATTATATTTTTATTCGATAACAATTTTTTTCAAATAGTAAAAAGTCGATTAGGTGAAAAATCATCCACGAAAAAAGAAATGATAATTCTTTGTAAATCTCAAAAATTTAAGAATCACTTTATACCATAAATAAAGTCTACAATTAAAATGCCCTTTAAAAGACATAATTATAATCAAGAAACTTGATTATATTCGGCTAAATTTAATACTATCTAGAGAAATTAAAAGATCTCATAAACTATCTTGTTGGAATAATTGATAATTTTGGAGTTGGTTATTAATTTATGCTAAATATTCCAAACAATTGCAATTACTAATTTAAAAGCTTTGAAAACTAATATAATATAGAATACTATTATTAGTGGATTAGTCTTCTATATATTGTAAGTATTCTAATATAGAAGAGATTTAAAGAAATTTAAAGAAACTTCCATATTATCCAAAGCCAAACGTACTTCCTCTTCTTTAATGTTCTTATTCTCTCCTTTATTTATTTTATTTATTATTTATATATAATTTAAGTGTAAAATTTATATAAGGTAAAATATTAGTGATTTTAAAGTTTTAAATGTCATAATATTTAATACTGTTCAAATAAGGAAAACATTTATTATACAAACTCCTAAATGTTAGGGAATTAATTAAATGACTATTTCTAAATATTAGAAAAATAATCAAATGACTATTTTATCCAGTGTTAGTTCTATTTTTAAAGGGTAAAAAAGACGAACGACATTTCGCTAAAGGCTTTCGTATTTTTAATATAATATAGATTACTCATTCACAATTTTTTTCCCCAATACTATCATTATTATTATGGGCACTATGGTAAAATATGCATTTCGTCTATTATTTCTTGAAAGGGTGTGCAAAATCTATCGTGGACAAGTAAAATTGAACGGAGGAAGTACTTGGTATTGAATTTATGTATATTAGTTTGACTTAGCACAAAGTTTAAGAAAATAAGAAAAATTATTAAATCTTGTGATTTTAAATTAAAAATTTGTATAAATTACCAAAATATCCTTAAAACTTGTAGTTTTAAATATGTCAGGTTGGAAGTTAGAGTTAAAGAGTTACTAAATATAAAAAAAATATTCTTTTTGAAACAGACTAAAAAAAATAATAAGATCCATAAGTTGAAACGAAAGGAGTATATATTTAAAATCAAACGATTTCTTTCAATTTTTAACATTGTATTTAGGGGTGACAAACGGGTGGGTCAGGTCAGATATAGGCGGGTCGAAAATGGGTAATGCAAAAACAGATAAATTATTTAAACTAACCCATATTTAATATGAATAAAAAATAGATTAACTGGCAGATAATATGGATATCCATATTATCCATGGCTTCTTGAATATGATCACTTTTGGGAGAATTCCCAGTCTCCTAAACTTGAGAAACCCCCAATCTAAGGCTTTACAAATGTAAAAGTTAAACCCATTAGTTATCCATTGGTTATTCATTTTTTAAAGTGGATAATATGGTTCTTATCCATATTTGACCCATTTTTAAAAAGTCCATTGTTTAACCCCCTTTTTAATGGTAATATGGATGGATAACTGATTTTTTTTTAACCATTTTGCCACCACTAATTGTACTCAATCAAATACGCCGTATAAAAGTAATGTATAAATTTTCAAGTACTAATACTATGAGCCCATTTGGCCATGAATTTTTAATTTTTTTTTTCGAAATTAGTGTTTGGCCATAAAAATTTTAATTTTCACTTGAAGATGAATTTTTGAATTTTTTTAAAATTTGAAAAATTCCAAAAAGCTATTTTTTAAAAATTTTCACTCAGATCACTCATAAAAATTCAAAAACAACCCAAACTTATATTCATGTCCAAACGCAATTCTAATTTTCAAATATCATTTTCGAATTTTTTTCCGAAAATTTACCATTCTTATATCCAAAAGCCCACTATATATAACAATATTAATGGAGTTTGTTGGGTAATTTGAGAGTGGAAGAGTGTGGGACCTAAAGATGAGGCCTCTGACACACAGTGTGAAAAAATGCGAAATCTTATTCATTAAAATTGAACTCCTGTCTATTGGCCATTGGCTATCAGAAAAAGTCTTTCTTTTCTCTCTATTTTTTCTGTTTTTGGCTTTTCCACTTCTCATTTCACTTTTGGACGTTGTTCACTTTACGCGTGCGTGTGTTTGTATGTATTTGATTCTTCTACTTTCGGATCGATGTGTCCACTTTTGGAAAATTGACATATAGGCCCGTTTGGTTATTTTAAAAAAAAACAAATCGTCTAAAAATTTTCATTTTTGTTTAATTAGTGTTTGATCATAAAATTTTCAAATTTCACTTAAAATTAATTTTTAAAATTTTTTAAAAACTCCAAAAAATTGTTTTCAAAATTTTCACTTCAAATCACTCATAAAAGTTAAAAAATATTTTCAAATTGTATTCATGTCCAAACACAACTCTAATTTTCAAATATTATTTTCACTTGAAATTTTTTTTCACTTTTTTCTTCTAAATTTCATAATTCTTATGTCCAAACGGCCACTATAGTATCATATGTAGAGTTATTTCCTAAAAATAAACATACACAAATTAATTTTTAGTCTTAATTTCAAATTATTTTTAAAAATAGGTTTTAGGTATTTATTGCCCAATTCTACGTTAAGTCCCTGTCCATTAATGGTGTTATATAAAAGCCTCACTTCCTAGGACACGACGAAGATGGTTTAATTGCCCAAATCTAAGTTAAGTCTGTCTTTATGATTCATATCCCATTAGAAATTGAATGTTGGTTTATTTTTTTTGTATGTATTGGTTGATTATGTATACTGTATACAGTATCTTTTACCTTTGATCCGAAAAATCATATACTCCTGTGTGTTTTGAAGATTTATTTATTTTGCTTATCTACTATAAATTGGTGTTTGGATTTTGGTTTTTGTGTACATTTGAAAAACAACTTTTAGAAATAAATTTGTGTATTTAGATTAATCTTTGAGAAAAATATTTTTGGAGAGAATTTGTGTTAATGTTTGTGGAAATCTACCTTTGGGTTATACATATGGTAATAAAAAAATTTGGCTGGTCTTTGGAAACTAGAATTTGTGTTAGGTTTAGTGTTTTCGGCTAAAAATATCCACTATTTCAATATATTAAGGATTATTTTTGTTAATGATATACATTAAGGACAAATGTAGTCCAACCTCCGCACATAAAGGACCATTCTGATAATTTTCTCGTTATTTATGATTCACATAGAAAATTGGCAATACACAATTAGTGAAATAAGTGATTGCCCATTTGGAAACATAGTGAACTTAAATTCTAAGAATAGTTCGTGAAGTTCGAACTAGTAAAACTTCAAACTTCATGAATTTTTTATTGAGTTCAAATTGCACATTTCAAACAGTAGAAATTATTCCTGGAGTTTGAGCTGATAAATATCCAAACTCTAGTAAAAGATTTTGGAGTTTTTTCGTATTTTAACTAGATATATTTTTGTTAAAATTTTATTTTCGCATTATAAATGACTAAACATTGTATAGTTTGAAACCGCTGGCTAACACTTAATTAGCGGTCTAAAAACCGATCATTTGTCAAATTTGATCAACTAATCAAGATGGGCTCTAATACTATCCGTGAAAATGGAGTGGGCTTGGTCCATGTAACTCGTAAGTCGTGGATAGCCCATTTATGCCTTTTACTAAAGAGTGATTTGTAGTAGAAATGGCGTGGGATAATCACTTTTTAACATTGGTATTTAATTTTTATTCAGTATTTTTAATGCTGACCAAAAATAGCCACTACTCTATTAAAATTATTACGAAAAGATATTTTTACCCTTTCTTCATGAGTGCTGTGTAAATATTAAGGACATGGTGTCCTTAACATTTACACTGCACACATGAAGTTAAGGACGACATGTCCTTATCATTTACACTGCACATATGAAGTTA